GCCGCTTCCAGGAGAGGAGCCGGGCCCCACCCGGGCCACACCCACCCACGGGAGAAAGGGTTCTCACCCAGGCCCAAGCGTGGGGCTGGGGGAGAAGCTTTCGTCAGGAGACCTCAGGGTCTGGTCACACATGGTTCCTCCCTGGAATCTCTCCTTTCCTGGGCTGTCCGCTGAGCACCTATGCGTCCTACACCACCTTGGCATTCATGTCCTTTAGCCCCCTAAGGGAGAGGCTGACTGTGCCTCTCAATTCACGGGTCCGGCACTCCTTACAGACTTAGAGTAAGGCACAACCCACTGGGGACCGTGGCTGCCCTCCTAGCCGAGTCTGCATCCTTGGTCTCACCCAGCACGGCCCCAGGTCCAGGGATGTGACATGGATATGGAGACACTTTGCTGTTTGGCATACAGTTGTCAATGATGTTCCTGCTGGGAAACCCGCCCTCTTCCGGGAGGTGGCTTAAGTGTGGGCAAGACTCGGACCTGGCCAATCAGACAAGGTGGGAGGCCTGAAAACAGTCCATTTCTGGTCTCTCACCCCCCACATACACACACACACAAATACACACACACCAGGCAGCAGTTCTGTAAGGGCCGGAGCTTCTGCTGGTTTACAGGCTGCTGTGATGGCGCCAAGTTGCTGGTTCAAACCCACGTCCTGTCCCATTGGGGGGGGAGGGGGTGGCAGGTGGGAGGAATAAGCTGTTTGCTGCTGTAAAGACTTCCAGTCTTGGGCACCCTATAGATGGTCGCTCTGGGTTGGAATTGCTAGAGCCCAGGAGCTCAACAAATGTGTGAGGTTCAGGGCCCCCAAAATGGAGCCAGGGATGAGAGCTTGGGTTCAAATCCTGGCTCTGCCAGTTACTAGCCGTGTGACTGTGGGCGACTCATTTCCCCTCTCGGTGCCCCAGTGTCCTCTTCTGAAAAATGGATATGACGAGAGTTTGCATATGATAGATGAAAATGACTTATTGTTCGTGATATATCGAAGTTACTGTTACCATAGTTATTACGTTTAGTTATCTTTGATTATCGTTATATTACTTATTATTACTAGTTACCTGCTACTCCTCCTAAAGTTACCTTTGGTCATAACTATGACCACAGTTAGGTGTTTATTAATCTAAGGAGCCCTGGTGGGGCTGGGAGTTAGGGGCGAGGCTGCTAACTACAAGGTTGGCCATTCTGACTTGGCAGTGCTGACCCACCAGCGGTTCCCTCAGGAGAAACGTGTGTCAAGAGTAACAGAGGCACTTGCACACTGTCCTGTCAACGTCGCTGTGAGTCGGAACTGACTCCGTGGCAGTGGGCTTGGTCTTAGGGAGTCATGAGTGTGCTGTCGTTATGAAGTCTGTATTGTCATTCACCGCGACCCTGTGTGTGGCGGAACCTGCTCCACAGGGTGTCCCTGGCTGTACTCTTCATGGCCGCAGGTGGCCAGGCCTTTCTTCGGTGCTGCAATAGCGTGGGCTTAAGCTGCCGACCTAACGGTTAGTGGCCAAAGGTCAAACAGTCTGTCACTGTGAGTTGGAATCCATGGCTATCATCCCCTTATTACAGTGATCTCATGTGGCATGCTGGATTACGCATAAGACTGCTGACCACAGGCCAGTCGTGGGAAACCAGTAGCCACCCCGCAGGAGAAAGACGAGGCTTTCGACTCCGGTCAAGAGTGACCCTCTCAGAAACCCACAGGGGCAGTTCCACCCTGTCTGACGGGGTCACTGTGAGTTGGCATCGACTCGATGGATTTTAATTTGGGACATGATAACAGATGTTATTTGTTAAAGTTATGCTATTGTTCCTATTAAAGTTATCCACTGTGAATATCAAAACTTTGGTTGGGGTTAAATGACTAGCCAACGGGTTTTCGTGAAGTTCTGGAACAAACAATACATGGTTAGCAACATATATGTGTCTGAGCAAGCCCGTGGAATAGCACGGTAGGGTCAGCGTGAACACTCTGAAACCACCTTGGGGAAACTTTCCCCTCTCAGGAGGGGGCCTGAGACGGAGCAAATGCAGCCCTGGGCCTCTGGGACCCCCAACCGCTCTAGAGGATCTCTGCTGGGGTGGCCTGCTGGGGGGACAGAAGTTGGGTCTGTGTTGGGGGGCGGGGTTCACCAGAGGAGGCTGCCTCCATGGGAGTGCAGCACAAAGGCTGCTGGAGCCTGTGATGGAGGGCGAGTTCTCACGCTATCCTGGAGCACCTTGATCCAGCCGTACCTGAAGCCTGAAATTCAAGGCTATTCCATGGTTTGAACCCCTAAACTGTCTTTTTTCTTGGGGAGGGAGGCAGAAGCCGCTAGGGGCCGAGTCTTCTGCAAAGCTACGAGAAAATGGGGATCCCAGAAGGGGAGTGGGCGAGGCTGCGGGCGGGCAGGCGCAGGCAGACCTGGATGTGCTGCTGCAGCCGCTTCTTCTCCATCTGCAGCTGGCGGCTGCACTCCTCCTCCTCGCCCACGCGGGCCTCCAGCTCCGACACCACCAGCTCCAGCTCCTGCTTGCGGGCCGCCAGGTGCCCCCGCGTCTCCTCGGCCTCGGCGCACAGCTCGGCCTCTGCCCGCAGCTGCTCCGACAGGCGGCTGCGCTCCTCCTCCAGCTGGGGGTCGGGGGTCACGGGTCAGAGGGGCGTGCTCCAGGGACGACCCCCAGCAGGAGGTAGGCGGTATGTCCCATCCCTCCCGCCCTCTCGATCCTTGCCCCGCAGAACCTGGATCTGCCTGTAACATCGCCCCCGCGGGCTCTCCGCTAGTCCTGCCACAGCCTCACGGCCCCGCCCCTCACATTGGCCCCACCCAGGCCCCGCCCCCGTCCTGGCTCCACCCTAACTCCAGCATACTGGGCTCTCTCAGGGTCCCCCAAGCCCACCTCTCACATTCGCCCCACCCAGGCTCCACCCACCACACACCCTGGGCCTGTCCTCACTGGCCCCGCCCATTCCCTATCCTAGCCCCACCCCTCACTGGCCCCATCCACCCCTTGGCTCTGTCTGTGGGCTGCCCCAATACTGGCCTCACCACCCACCCTAGCTCCACCCAGCTCCAGCTCTCCCAGGCCCCGCCCCTGGCAGCACACGCATTCCCTGCACCCAGACCCCGCCCACACTCTTCAAGCCCCACCCCACCCCGGCCCACTTGGAGGCCTCTCACCTGTACCAAGCGGTCCTGCAGTTCGCCCAGCTGGCGGGCGCTCTGCTGCTGCAGTTCCTGCACTTTCTGCAGCTCCTGGGCCCGAGCCTGCAGCACCTCGTCCTGCCGAGTCACCTGCAGCAGCGGCTTCACCTGGGGGAGAGGATGACCAGTCGGATGGCTGGGGTCCTCCTGCCAACCTCCAGGCCCCAAGGTGGGAAGTCACTGGCCAGGAGTGGGGTGTGTGGCCAGAACTCACAGCCTGGTGAGGCCTGAGGGCTTGGGTCTGACTCCCAGGCCCTCCACCTTGCTAGCCACATAGCCCTGGGTGAGCACAGGGGCATCCCCACCCTCATCAGTACTGTGGTGTTCTTTGCTATAGGGGACTTTCACATACAAGGGACCCTGGCCACTGCTATGCTGGGGCCAGGTCTGTAGTGACAGATGCACGGTCTCTTGCGGGGGCAGGTTGGGACTCACACACCCACACAATGCCATGGGCTGCAGCCCCCCAGATAAGTGTGGTAAGTCCTCACCCCCATGCCTGTGGTTCCCGTCCCACTTGGAAACAGGCTCTCTGGGTTATGTAAACAGCCAGTGTTAGTGCAGGTGCATGTGACAGCCATAGAGAGAGATCCCCGTCCTGGGGTCTCACGTCATGTGTCCTGCCCTGACCCAGCTGGTCAGCCCCTGTGGGCTGTAACCCACGTATCCCAACCAGGGCCCCCTCCTTGCTCCAGTCACCCTCCTGCCCGTGACCACCATGTTGCCATCTGCCGCCAACCACACACGATTGTTTTCCGTGACCTCCCAGGCCCTCAACCTTGGGCACCATGACGACCTCGGGCCAATGGCCTCCCTCATTGGGAGACCCTGCATCTGGAATGTCTCAGAATGGTTGTGCTTTTGTTTCTGCCTCCCTGTCCCTGTGCCCAGTTTCCTGCAGGGAGCACACCTCCCTGCTACCCTCCGTTTGTCCACAAGTCCCTCATCAGCCAGCGACCACCCCATGTGGGGAGAGGCTGCCCGTGAGTGTCATGGACCAATGTCAAAGGAAAGATGCAGAAAGCCTGACCCCCTGATGCCCCTGTGGGAGCCAATGGACAGTGAAGGGTTAGCTAAG